CGGGACGGATCAATCTGACCTGCACAAGTGCAGGTCGGATCAATCCGACCGGCACAAGTGCAGGTCGGATCAATGCGACCTACACAAGTGCAGGTCGGATCTGATCCGACCCGCACAAGTGCAGGTCGGATCAATCCGACCCGCACAAGTGCAGGTCGGATCTGATCTGACCCGCGCAAGCGCAGGTCGGACTGATCCGACCCGCGCAAGCGCAGTACGGAACCCGAAATGCGTTTTGACGGTTTTGATGCTGTATTTTGCAGGATTTATCTGTTCCAGGGGTTTCTATCTGACTTGATATCATCCCCAAACGTGGTTAGGCTGTTGTTAACTGAAGATAGAGCCAAATCACTTGTTCTCATCCAAATAACCGCTTCCAAAGCCCTATAAATACAAGCCTAGGGCCTCCTTTTAGCGGGGGCGATTGATTATCAATACGAGGAGGTGCTGCCGGATTGTGGAGTCAAAGGAGCACGAATTTCAGCGAGGGTTGAGAGATCTTGGCGAGTTCTTCGGCATAAAGAAGGAGAGTTCGAGAGATCCGACGCCCGTTCCCGTCCGTCCCTTGAGATTAGGCTTGGTCTTAATCTCGAGAAGAGCCCTGATTTCGCTTGGTCGATCTCAGCGCTTCAAATCAAATACTTCCTCGGCGAAGACGAAGCTCTGCCGAATTTTCCATCAACCGGATCCAGATCTAAGGCGGTCCACGGATAAACCCCGGCACAGGCAAAGATCCCACGCAAGCAGAAGACCGATAAACGATCTCCCTACGTTTGTTTGATAAAGTTGTAAACTTGTTTTATTTTCATTGTGTAAGGAGATCTTATAAAAAGATCAACTTTTTTTATTTTATTCGAGTTTATTGTAATGACTAAAGTTGTAATAGATTCGATCGCAATGAATACAACAATTTTCGACGCAAACAATCCTTAATCTTTTCATCCTCGTCTGTATCATGCTTCGGACGATTTGTGAGAGGAACAACGGGGCCACCCCCGGTGTTGTCATCATTAGCAGGACCACCCCCAATGTTATTGTCTTCAGTGGGACTACCCCCAGTGTTCTGATCAACGGGATTGTTCTCAGCATTGAGGCGTTCATCCACATCTGAATCACTACCTGCTTGGTTAGCAATGTTGCGACGGCTGGATTCGCCAATTTGATTCGACAAAGCTCGGATTTGTTGATCATGTTCTTCCCTCATCCGCCGCATAGTTGTTTCCATTTCGAACTTGAAGTACTCTTTTTGCTTGGCCAAGGCATCCTCAACTATTTTGGCTACTTTCTTGGTGTTAATCATAAACACTTTGCAGGATTTATCCCGGACTGGATACCGTATTATCAGAAGCGATTGCCGAGTTAGCATCCGATGCTTCATCATCTGAGGATAACCCTCTCTGCATTCTCTGATAATCCCTTTGTCTAATAGTTCCTGATCGTAACCGGGTTAGACGATGCGATACAAGCGGGTCAGAGCTAGAAGATCGAATCGATTTTCCCTTATCAACCATATTGATGGTAACCTTTGGGGGTTCGTCACCTTGAACGACTGATCGTTTCTTACTTCCCTTATCAACCATATTGATGGTAACCTTTGGGGGTTCGTCACCTTGAACGACTGATCGTTTCTTACAAAGACGCTTTAGATTGGACTTAGTATTTCCGTTGGAGATCCTCTCAAATACCGAGATCCTCTACGGAGCGATCTTGGGGCAGCTACACGCTGATAATACTATCCTAATTAACTTGGCGCACGGGCAGTGAGACTTTGCTTCTCGGGTATATCTCTTCCGAGACTTGTTCATACCCCCAGCCCGATAGTACAACTCATCGGTCAGATGACCGGAGTAACCTATCGTGTGTTGACATGACTCCCCTAGTATAACGTTGTTATCGTCAGATGAATACGTTTCTTTCAGGGGATTTGCCGCTTTATTAGCATTCTCAAGAGTCACGCGTTTAGAGTCACGCATTTGTGATCGTGAACTCTTGACAGGCTCTTGGAGTTTAATTCACCGTCCGAGGCAGTCAATTACAGAAGTTTTCCGTGTGCGACCCCCAGCTCGAGTAATTGCTCGGGATTCAGTCACCCGATCCAAGCGTTCTTTGACCGGGGCTTTGCCTCGACCCGTGTGCGAAGGAACAAGCCGATCCGCGATCTTCATCTTGAAATGGGACAAGTCCATGCTGTCACGGTGTTCCATCGGAGGTGCGGAACTCGAAAGGATCGACGAAACATGTGCATAACGTCTTCTGTCTTTATCCTGGCGCGGGTCAAACTTGAGTGACCCGCTGGTTGGAGGGTCGGATCCAGGTGACCCGTAATTTGGAGGGTCGGATCCAAGTGACCCGCGAAGTGGAGGGTCGGACCCAAGAGACCCGCGAAGTGGAGGGTCGGATGTGAGTGACCCGCTTTCGACTTTGGCCTCCAAACTTGGTGCAGTTTTTGTGGCTTCTTTTTTACTTCTTTCCTCTGCAACCTTTGAGCCTTTTGCGCAAGAATTTGCACGTGCACAAACAGTGCACGACGCTTTTTGATCCACTCTTCAAGAGTTGAACGGGTCCTTTTGACTTGTACCCATTCACTTGTTGATGATTTGGAGGAGAGGGCATTTGTCCGCTATTGGGGTGCTTGGCGTTGCCTAATTTTTAGACCCGCCTCGTAACAGATCACGTCAATTGACTCCAAAACCCTAGCGAGTTGGCATGCAAGGCGTTGGCGCTGCCTTTGGCGAGCTCTCTTCGATAAAGTGGGCGCGCCTTCTGTACTCAACTCCTTGATTGAGGAGGAGTTCATATCTGCAGATCCGGACTCGTTGGAGGCCGGAAAGGCGTTGCAAGGTTCAGCTACCACAGCAACGGGGTCTTGATCTTCCTGGGATTGCGAGAGGCGGAGGATCTGGAGGAGGAGGACGATAGATATTCCTCGAACTTCAGTTGGTCGAACTCGTATTCGACCACTTCTTCAACCACGATGCAGATCCAAGGTTGCAACACGACAGCTCCGGCAGCGAAGCTGTTGGCTCCCACTGTGGTCGCCAGTTTGTTTACGTCGAAAATTGATGTATTCATTACGGTATTCATTACAACTTCAGTCGTTACAATGAAAACAAAAATATAGTCTTTTTATAAGACTTTTACACAATGAAAATGAAAAAAAATACAATTCTCGTCAAACAAACGCAGAGATCGTTTATCGGTCTTCTGCTTGCGTTTACCTGTGCCGGGGTTTATCCGTGGACCGCCTTTGATCTGGATCCAGTTGATGGAAAATTCAAACAGAGCTCCTACCTCACCAAGGGGGTATTTGCTTGAAGCGCTGAGATCGACCAAGCGAAATCAGGGCTCTTCTCGAGATTAAGACCAAGCCTAATCTTAAGAAACGGACGTGTAGGGCTTCGAATCCTTCGAATGACTCCGCTTCAATGCTGAAGTTCGCCGGGATCTCGTTGACCTTCGCTGAAATTTGTGCTCCTTTGACTCCTCAATCCGGCAGCACCTCCTCGTCTTGATAATTAATCCCCCCTTAAAATAAGCCCCCGAGCTCGTATTTATAGGCTTCGGTTGGGGGGGGTTTTGGATGAGAATCAATGATTCGTCCATATCTTCAGTTAATAACTGATTAACCATGTTAGGGGATGATATCAAGTCAGTTAGGAACCTCAAGAACGACCAAATCTCGAGAAAAACCGTCAAAAACCGAACTGAGGTCGAAACAGCACGCGCGGGACAAATCTGACCCGCGCTTGTGCGGGTCGGATCGGATCCGCCCCGTGGTTACTGTAGTGCGGATCAGATTACTGTAGCACGGGTTGGATTACTGTAGCGGGTCGGAACTGTAGCACATCGGATTTGAGACATCTTTGGTATTTTGGCCTTAACTCTTTCGTATGACCTCCGATTAAGCTGATTCAAGATGCGTTGGAAAGCTGACGAAGAGATCTATAACTTTTATGTTTTGAACTTTTTTAGATTCAAATCATAGCATTGTCTAAATACCTCTTCATTTTACGGTCCACTTTGAGGTGTTCGACACTTTCTGACTTCTCCGAACTTGTATTGCGTATTTCATCATTCCGGTGACTTTGAGGTGTTCGACACTTTCTGACTTCTCCGAACTTGTATTGCGTATTTCATCATTCCGGTGACTTGTACACTCCAATGACTCACTTTGTATATTCGTTTGTATTGCGTATTTCATCATTCCGGTGACTTGTACACTCCAATGACTCACTTTGTATATTCGTTAGCTTTTACGGGGCCAGATAATCCTTTCCTGACTTGGATGATGACGTTTATCGTCTCCATTTCGTCCCGAGCTGTGTGTAGGAACATATAGGTATTTTTATACGCCTACACTTTCATGGTTAAAACTCTGGTACTTGATGCAGGTTGCTTATGTGTAACGCTAAAGAGATTACTATCAGTAGGATAATAACCCGTGCAAATTGAAAAGTTGATGCCTAATGAAACGACGGTTGGTTCTCATAGGATTACCGAATGAAAACTCAAGATGGATTCGAGCCGTATTTTTAGTGACTATGAGGGTGAAATTAGTTAATAGAGATTTTTTTTTTAAATTTGTGACTGATTAATAACGTCACTTCTCCGTTTGTGCTTACCGTGGAAGAACATTCTGTTGCTTGGGTTATCTAGAAAATTTAAAATCGGTGCGAGTCCACATGGAAAATGATGTTATCGATCATTTGTTTGGATTTTTTTAATAATAACAAAAAATGTTTGAGGTTTTTAGGTCATTTTCTAAATGTAGTTTCCTCCAGTTTGATAGGAGCCTACGCAGTACGCACCATCATGTAACCCAACAAAGTTAAAAAAAAAAAAAAGGAATCACTTTATTTTAGCAGGCCTAGGCCTTGTAACTAAACTAGGCTTTTAAACTTTGGATTGAATAGGGGGAGTTCGAACCAGAGATCAGCACTACCCAAATACTCTCACGTGACATAAACACGTGTTCAAATTCTGTGAGTGGTCCTATCGTCGTCGCCCTAGATCGGGGAATTGGGAATCCCTTATTTACCCCCCTCCCCCCGGTCTTTCGTTCTCTCCCACGAAACTCTTGATCGGAACAACGCAGGATCGTCCATTTAATTGTGAGTAATTCTTTTGTTATTTAATTTCGATTTTCCATCTTATTGTTCTCTGAATTCTATTTTGATGGTAGAGATTTTGTAAGTTGCAACCGCTGATCTGAAAAAGTTTATCCTTTTCTTTTCCCCTTATTTGATAGTTTCTAAATGGAGGAATTTTGGAAATAGAACATTTTAAATATTTATTTACAATTTTCGACCCAGTCCTAACTTAATTAGCGTTTTCGAAATTGGTGAATAAAACCTCGGGGTTGGCCAATCCCGTGAAGTTTTAATTAGTAATTTCGAGCTAATTTCTTGAAACTAGGTCGAAATTGCTAATAAATGTCGAAAAAGGTTGATTTTATAAATTGTAAATAAATGTCGAAAAGGTCGATTTTAAAAATCTCTCCTTTCTAAATTTTGTGAATTAGATAGATTACTTTCTTTGTTCTTAGAAAATCATCTCTTTTCTTAATAGCAAGCATGATTTATTTAAAGTTATCTAGTTATATTTGTAAGTAAGAGAAATATAGAATTCCAATTGGGAGGAATTTTTCGTTTTGGACAGCAAGAAATTCGGATCTCAAGAATTGGGTTTGGAGGCTCTTTATTTTGTAGAACATTGTAGGATATAGCAACTTTATTGTGATCTTAGTGAAAAAATTGAAGGAATGAGTAACCAGCCTAGGGAAAACGTCAGAGTTTACTGCCCCTTAAGAGGTACCTGTCAATCTCATGCGATCACTTAAGGCAAGGTTAGGGGCGGATCCAAAATTTGGTCGTGGATTGGCAACTCAAAACAGAAGAGTTTTCACGGATTGAATTACAAAAGTAGAGAATGGTTGGGGGGGGGGGGGGGTTCAGATTTTGGAGATTATAACAGACTTGGAATCTAACGGATTAGGTAGTGGGTAAATGGATTCGTTTTCGCCCCGTTTAGGTGTTTATTTTCAAAAGACTAAGGGGTTGGGTGTCAACAATATCAAATAATGTCAGGGAAAATTGATAATTTTGGGCCTAATACTAGATATATTTCTTAGGGGGATCAATGGTTGCAGTTAAACCCACTGCCCTCGCTTTAGATATATGAGGAAGGAAGAAAACTAGAGACATAAAGAAGAGAAACAATAAGTTTTGCCTTATCCATCTAAGGACTATTTTATTGAAAAGAAATTCCCCCCTTAGACCCTTATATAAGTTTACGTTATTTCATGTTTCCCTTGTTTATAGGAAAAAGATATCTGATTTCTTATTTAGTTTGTTAGTTACTTACCTTGGTATTTGGTTTGTTAGTTATTTATCTACAATCCTTTTAAAGCAAGTAAATATCAAATGAAAAAAAATTATATATGGGCATGAATTTTAGTAAATAAAATGTTAATATTTGGATTATAGGAATAGAAATCACTCATTATTGCAAATATATTGAATATATTGAATAAAAGAAAGTAAAACAACAATTTTATCAGCCTCAGGGAAAGCGTGAAAGCCATTACACATTCGGCGATCTCGTGCGATCAGTCCTTAACAGTACGATCTCTTCTCTACCATATCCCAAGCATGAATGACCACACTGAGGAGGTGACCCGGAGTATGCCCACTAGATAATAATAATAATAATTGTGAAAGTTTTGATGGAAAGGAAGTGAGCAGAGAAAGGAAACATGTGTTTTTCTACTTTGTTTTTGTTATCCTTCTGAACGCTACTTTTATACAAGAAATGTGCCCCTTTTAGATAACAAAATTAGAGTATTTTACGTTATATTATGTTTTCCATGTTCCTTAGAACTAGGAAAATTAAAAATTTTAATAAATAGGATTTCTTATTTAATTTGTTAGTTAGATTGATCTTTGGCTTATTAGCTATTTATTCAGCAATTAATTCCACAAGCTCATCATCGCGATATGCAACAAAAATAATCTATCGAGCAATTAAATATAGATTTGATTATTTGAGGTGGGTTATAAATAGCAACATAATTACACAAACAATTTGACCAATTTGGAGCAATAATGAGATGTAAATCAATAAAGAAACTCTTAATCAATATGTCACATTAGATTTTGTACAATTTGAACGTAATTTAGGGTCTGTTTGGTACATTTCCAAAAAAAAAAAGAAAACAGAAAACTAGTTTGAAAACCATTTTTGGACATTTCAGAGGGTTTCCCCATTTGACTTATTTAGTTTGTTTCACATTGAAATCATAGGCTGGAAAACAAGGACTTCCATTTCTTGGGTTTGTTTTAATATCCAAAAATTAAGAAATACAATGAGTTTTTTAATTAAATATTCAGTGACGTGACATTAAATAATACCCTTTACTTTCAGCCATCGTTTCAATAGTGCTTTAAGCAATATTAAATTCATTGACGGGACATTTCTCACCTATTTCAGACCCATAAGTTCTGAAATAGGTTTTCTCCAAATTTTGACGTGGCATCCGATTTCATCCCCCCTTTTCTTTAAATCACCCAGCGAAGCAAATGTTGGAATTGGAAATATCTTAAAACCAAAATCCTATGTGGCTAAGGGGTCGGATTTCAAATCGCCTATTTCTCTCTTTATTTGCGCAAACAAACATCCCCTTAGCAGGACTATGGTCCAATAAAGGAACTCTTAATCATTTGACAAAAGGTCTAGCCAGGACTATGGTCCAATATTCAACCAAAGGCATGATATTGAGCCTAAATGAATAGGAAGTCAGGCCTCGAATGTGGGAACCCTACTTCTATGATAAGTGATCCCTTGAAGGAACTTCAAAGGGTAGAAACAAGGTAGACTTATATATCTATTAGAGAGTACTCATATTTATAAATGCGGAATTTGATTCCGCATTGGTGTTGTACACTCCAAAATCTCATCTTAAGGTAGAGTTGCTCCATGGAGAGATCAGTTCAAGTTATGTAACTATTAATGAATTTGGGACATAGAGCCATCTCTCTACAGTCTTTTCTATTCTTAGAGGTAAGGTTTTAAATGTCGGATGTCGGGTCATGTCGGACGGCTAAAATCCATGTCGGATAGCGGTAATCGGGGATATATCGGGGAACATGGATTTAATATCGGATTGCCATATCGAGTGGTGCCCATGTGTATAACATCATGTTCTAAATGTAATCTAAGCATTCCTAAATTTAATATAAGCATACTTTATAAATTCTAAAGGTGGTGCCAGCAATGAGTTGATTCTGACGTCGCAAGGAGGCAGTGTCGACGACGGGACGTCGCAGGGAGGTAGTGCCAGGGCTCTTCTTATTCTTCTTCGTTTGCTCGGGGTCCTTCGAATGAGTTACCGACTACCCTCTTTCCTTTATCCCGACGACGGGATACCCTGTCGCCCTCGAATTCGGTTGGGATTCGAATTTAGGGGTGCAATGGGAGATGGACGACGGAGGTCCGAGATGGAGGTGGGGGAAGGACGTCGTCATTCACGAAAGGAGAGATCGGTTCTTAAGTCCACTGTAGCCCTCATATTTTTTTTTCTTTCTATCGGGTTCATAAGAAATTCTTAACCATGAGAACGGGTCAAACGAACTTGGGTTTTTATCACTAAATTCAAACCCGGTAACAAAAAACAGATCTAAAAAAGATCATATCGGCCGCTTTTTCAAGGCTGAAAAATCTGTCTATATGTCAAATATGGCCCCGAAAACTAACATACGAGTTGAAAACGCCCATGTCGTGTCGCTCAAGCCCTCAAACCGACATGTCGGCCGATATGTCGGACATGTCGGCCGACATTTAAAACCTTGCTTAGAGGTTCTACGTACATGAGAATTACCGTGTGGTCGTGGTTGTGGAAGTTTGGACTATTAAGTGTTGGATAATGCACATCCAAATTTAGTTGATAAACCTGATATTCAAAAGAGTAAGCGTTCTATGTATATTTGTTATTTTAGGTATAGGATTTCAGTTTAAGGCCTTATGTTCATTATGATTTCCTTATAATAATAAATGTTACTAAATGTAGATTCAAGTCTAGAAGTCATTTACATTAATGCATGGAATTTGTGCCCAGCGAATCTGCATCGTTGAACGTTGACTCTAAAGCACGTTCTTACAAGCCAAAGCACACCAATTTTGGGGTGAAGCCGATCGGTGTTTTGACGCCTTCATCCACTCACCCACAATTTTAACGGTTTCGAAATGAATAGAACTTTTGCACCGGGCTCAAACGAAGGAAAAACAGAACGGTTCCACCCAAAATTGATGTTTGTTGGATTAAGAATGTTACGATCAAGTTCAACGGGAATTGATCCGTTAAACACCTTAGGAAAACAATTGCCATATATATATATAATTATATTATTATATATATATTATATATATCATAGAGAGAGAGAGAAGAGAGAAGAGAGAGAGAGAGAGAAGAGAGATTCTAACAACTTAGTTGATGTTCACACAAATTGCCTAACCACGTCATTTATTTAATATTAAAAAAAAATTATATCATGCAAGGATCCCCTAGGCGATATGAGTGGCTAAAAGTTTGGTGATTAACTTTTTGCTATCCACTTAAGTTTAACAATGTTTTGCTATATATATATATATAATATAGTATATCATATATATATTATATAGTATATATATATATATGGAGGACCTTGTAATGAAACACAAACTTTTGTACTTGGTAGGTGGTTCATTCTCATCCGCTCATTCAAATAGGGAACCATATTCAGATGTGTTGGAGACTGGATGAGAATGAAACTCTCACTATCAAGCACAAAATTTGTGCTTGGTACCAAGTTTTGCTCTATATATATATAATTATTGCGAGATCTTACTTAGTCTCACCTCCCATACGTGGTCATGCACGCCTGAGATCTGGTAGATAAGGAATCATACTATTGAGGAGCATCTAGCCTTGTCTGATTGCTCGAAATCAGTGGATTTATATATGTGTGTGCGCGTGCGCGTGCGCCCGTATATATAAATTCTATGTTCATTTTCTTTCCCGTCAAAACTTTCTACATTATTATAATTATTTTGCGATCTTACCCCCTATGTGGTCGTGCACGCCTGAGATCTGGTATAGAAGGGACCATACTGCTGAGGGGCATCTAGCCTTGTTTGATTGCTCGAGATCAGTGGATATATCTTTAAGAAAGTGGTTCTCACATTTTCGCTGAGGCCAACAAAAGTTTTTCTTTAATTTTTTATTCAATAGAATTGCAATAATTCGTGAATTCTAGTCCTACATATCTCTCAAGGATCAAGTCACTTTCTCAACATGATATATTATGTTATCATAGCCAAAATCCTAGCTCTGTTTCCCAACGAATAAGCACTCTCCATTGAACTCTGGACCTCTTCTTCGAATGCTTGCTAATTTCTATGCTTCACCAACGAATAAGCACTCTCCATTGAACTCTGGACCTCTTCTTCGAATGCTTGCTAATTTCTATGCTTCATAGCCTTGATCTACCTTTAAATTGAGAATTTATTGTCACCCTTGTGACATAGTATTCTAATAATTATGTATAATCTCTACTGGTTTATATTATGGAAAGGGGATATTATTCGCCAAAGAGCAAGCAAATCCCTTTTGTATGTGAAAGATACTCTTCACTAGATCCCTGGACGAGGTTTGGTTACACCATTGTATATGCCATAAATATGTAAACCTATATTAACCAGAGGAAATATGTCCCAAACCTAACCTGATTCAAGTTGAACACGTCTTTTAACTATGAAAACCTTAACATCTTTTGGTTGTCAGATTTCCTAGTTGTCTGAGGTGTTGATCCTTTCTTATTTGAGAGTATGAGAGCAGTTAGTATTGTAGAGAAATTAGAGAACTTTATATAGTTCCACATTGGAAGATCATATAACTGTATTTTTTTCTTTTTTTTCCGTATCAATAAAATCTAACTACATATCTGTAGGATCAAGTCACCTTTGTCAGCATAGCATGATATGTTATGTTTCCACATCCAAGATCCTAAACCCAACTCAGGTCCCTCTTTTAGATTGCTGCCTATTTCTATGCTTTATAGCCTTGATCGGACTTTAGATTGAGAATTTATTGAAACATTTCTAATTTAGTCTTCAAATTATTGTGTTTGAGATTTATTATTTTGTGTGGTGGCAAGTGTGATATATTCACCAAGGAGAAATCAAATCCCTCGTGTATGCGAGAAGTTCTTTTTGCTTGATAACATATGAGTTTCAGATAACTATCATATACGTCATACATATATGAACCAATGACAATTCATCTCAAAATTAACCATAATTGAGTTGGAACTCATCATTAATTTTGTATGAGATATACTTTAAGTGATTGTTTAGCCACATGTAGTTCGGTTTTTTCTATTTGATATTAGTTCTTATTCTTTGCCTCTCATGTTTTGTTATTTTCAGGAAGATAAATGGATTTATGGGCTAATCTTAATAGAGATCTCTTACAGCTAATTGCTGAAAAGATAACTTGTCACACAGATGTTCTTCGCTTTGGTGCCACATGTAAACAATGGCGTTCTATTGTTACAAACAGCCTTCACTTTCTTCCTCCAAACCTCCCCATATCCTTATGTCTCCCAATTCAAAAACCCCTTCCATTGCTAATGCAGTGTCCTATTGAGGATAAATTGGGAAGCATCAATTTCCTTTCAGTTTCTGATATGAAAAGTTATGGTAAATTCCTTGTGCCAGAACTAAATAACAAGGTGATTGCTGGATCCTCTAATGGTTGGTTGCTCACAGTTGAGCTGAATAGTCAAGAAATTAAGCTCTTAAATCCTTTAACAAGGAATCAAATTCCCCTTCCATCCCTATCCACGCTTGAAAACCCTGAAGGTGAAGATTTTGGATTCATACTGAAAGCCATAATATCGTCCAATGCAAACAAGAGAAACTTGGGTGATGACTGCATTGTTATGGCAATCATCTCAGAATTGTCGATCCTATCTTTCTGTAGGCCAGGAGATGACAAGTGGACTTATGTCAATCAATATACGTTCAATCTCTATGATGTCATACCATACAAGGGTCAGTTCTTTGCTATTAATGAAACTGGGACGACAGTTGCTTATGATGTCTCAAATGATGATGTTAAAATGAAACTCATTGCAAAGGGAGATTACAGTCCTAGGAGGAGATATTTAGTCGAATCAACATCAGGAGAGTTGCTTCATGTTGAAAGAGTTTTAGATGAACAGACTGAAACTTTTACTACAAACTTTATTGTATACAAGCTTGAATCTAGAGAAGGATTACTTGAATGCGAGCTCTGTTGGGTTGAGTCGGAGAGCTTAGGAGATCAAGCATTGTTCTTGGGACTCAATTGCTCGCTTTCATTGCCCGCACAATCTTTTCGAGGATGCAAAAGCAATTGCATTTACTTTACGGATGATATTGAGTATTTAGATTCTTCGTACGACATGGGTGTGTATGATTTAGAAGATAGAAAGATTCAAATGTTCGGGGACATGGACAAGTGTTTCTCTTTTCCACCGATTTGGATTTCTCCAAATCCTTGGTAGGGGCTCAATAATCCATTTTTGTATTACAGAATGTCTTTCCTTCGCTTGATTGATATTGCTTGATGTTTTCTGTCTCTGTTGAATAATATTAGCTGGAAAAAGTGTGAAATAATTCAGTGTCAATCTCCAAGTTTGTTTTTGTTTTTAAGTATATTGTTAATATTTGGAGGGTACTACTTGCACACGGGAAGTGTCATTTGAACAATTGTTTCGTATACATTCTCTTAAGTACTTTATATGACAGAGACTACATGCAAAAGCCACTATTTTAAATTACTGGATATGGATTTTATGCAAATAATAATAACATTAATAAATTATGATGCCATTTGTTGAACATTACCCTTTTTGAGCAGATGTAGAAGAGCAGACTCAGTTGTAAAATGCTGAGAATTATTTGGAGGCATGAGTAACGTTTTATGTTAGGTTAACAGCTTCTCGTTCTTACAGTACTGAGAAACGAGGAGGCGAAAATGCCCGGAAGGATGAAAGCAATTAATTCTCTTTCAAAAAACTCTGAGCAGAAGGGAAACATATATGCTTAGAAATTAGGATTTTTGACGTGAAATCGATAAATTTAAGAAAAATATTTTGGGTTTTATCAATATTGGTCCCTTACATCTTTCATATTCTTCCAAAATATTGAAATTGCTATTTGGTCTGCCATTTCGTAGGCTTCTTTGAAATTAACCCATCACATCATTGAAATTGCTATAAGATACCTCTATTCTCATAAAAATTAATCTTTCTAACTGTTATTCCTACTGTTAGTTAGAAAAGAGTGTAGTAATCAATATTTAGCTTGGATCACACGTGGACAAGGATTGAGCACTTTTCTAGCCAAAGAATCTTTTTGAGTACAAAGGAAAAAAAAATATTCCGTTTAAAATTAGGATTTTTTTTTGTCTTATTGTCACCGTTCTATGTTAAAAAATACCGTATCATCGTCGGAATGAACAAAATATATTAATTTTGTACTTTTGCCAAATAAAAAGTAATAGGTAAATTGCTTGTTTTTTGAGTTTTAATAGTTATCGTCAAGATAGTGCTTTTTGAAATTAAGAGGGTCTAGCCAAGTTGATAAGCTGCATTTGAGTAGTACTCTAATGTCTCATGTTCCATTCTCCTAAAGAGCCCCAACATGAATTTAATTTCCTAATTTTTAGAAATATATAACCTTAAATTATGGATATTTATAAAAATATCTCTTAAATCTTAATATTTGCAAAACTATACCTCGAATCATCAACTTTGTGAAAAATGCCCCAAAAATCAACAAATCAACTTGGTTCTGAAAAATTAACTATTTTGTTATTACATTACGATTATAAATTAGTTTATCAAAGTTAATGATTAATTGTTGTGAGGGTAATTATTTACAAAATTGATGATTTGAGAGTATATTTGCAAACAGCAAGATTTAGAGGGTGTTTTTGCAAATAACCATACGTAAGGGGCATATATGCAAATAACCAAAAGAAAGGGGGCCGAGCTCTGATTCCTGTTCACTATAAGTTGACCGGAATCTTTCCCAAAACACGAAAGGCGAGCTCCACCCGATTGCACTTCAAAAGAATTAAGCTCATTCATGGCCTCATATGCTTCACACGAAAGGCGAGCTCCACCCGATTGCACTTCAAAAGAATTAAGCTCATTCATGGCCTCATATGCTTCCGCTGCTTCTCTCACTTGCTCTCTCTCCCCTCCTCTCTTTAAAACCAAGATCTTTTTGTTCAACTCTCTTCCGTTGAGAAGACCCAGATCCCAAATTGTTTCTCTGAGTGTTGGGTTTGATGATTTCCTTGACCTTACTCACAACAAGGTATTAATGAAATGAAATTAAATAAAAAAAACCTCAATTTTGGGTTTTAATGGAGAAAAAGTGAAGAATTTGACTTTATTTTTTTCCTCTATAGGTTTTAGCCGCAGCTGCAGTATCAGCTACAATTGGTCAGCTCTCAAAAATTTTTACATCTGCTATTAGAGGAGACGGGTTCAATCTCAAGTCATTCGTTCAGTCTGGGGGGATGCCCTCTACTCACTCCTCTGTATGATTTTTTTAGTGGGTCATTAAGTCATTCGTTCAGTCTGGGGGGATGCCCTCTACTCACTCCTCTGTATGATTTTTTTAGTGGGTCATTATCATTTTACCTATTTCTTGTGATTCTGGGGTTCTTATGAATTAAAAATTGTATTTTGTTGTCTACTTTTGAGGTTTGCAGAGTGTTACGGCTGCTGCAACTTCCCTTGGTCTAGAAAGGTATATCGTTGTCCCTTTTCGTTGCGTTATTTGTTAGCTAATGTGAATCAGATTAATGTGGCGAGGGTTGTTTTTGGTATGCAGGGGTTTCTCAGATCCAATTTTTGGCATGTCTGTTGTTTTTGCTGTTCTTGTTATGTATGATGCACAGGTATGTTCGCCGAGATCAGATATTGGAGAACGTCTCTTTTGGTAACGTTGTCGCAAACTTGTTCTGTTTTTCAATCTCTATTTTGCTCCTGTGTGATGTTCCTGTGTTGATAGAAAAATACGTAGAGAAGAGGCTATATCTCATGGGTAGTCATTGATTCTTGTAGATGCTTATTGCCATTTTTCTGGGTTTTACATGCTTTCTTTGAACTAATTTTGCGAGAATCATCGTGTCTGTCATGACTAAGGCATTGTTGTGGCTCGAAATTGGTGTGATTAAGACATGCAGTTCTACCTCACAACTTAAGGAAGCCCATTATTGCACCTTGTATGGTACTTTAGAATTTATTTTTAACCGGCAAGTTCCATAGTAAAAGGGAGTGCAATTATGTGTTTGTGTAGGTCAATTTGCATACTAAACTCAACCAAAATTTATGCAATTCTTGATTTTGAAGCTCATAGCGGCTTCTTATGGTATTTTGTATTAGAGAACAGCTATTATGCTTTCCTTATTTTTCTTCTCTAGTATCAGATGCTTTTGTATATTGTATTTCAGCATTTGATTTGGGTCAATGATAACCCTAAATTCAGATCTGCACAAATGAGGAATCCCGAGTGATCTCCTAAACAAGGAATACCGTCTTACCCTGTTTTCTGATGGCAAAGAGACTAACGTAGGCATTGGAGAGGCGATGCTATGCAATAACACCTGACGACCTCCCTTTTTGTCTGTGTTTGTGCAGATCTGACGAAGCCCCATTTATTGCCTAGTCTTTCCAAATCAAAGTAATCTTATTTGTGTATGTCTGATGAAACCCGATTAGTTAGTGTGTCATCAATTATTTATATGGGGGCAGGATTCCATGTTTCAAAATGATGGCAACCTTGACATCCCTGTAGATTGTCTTAGCTGTACTTGCGTGTAGGTACTCCCTTGTAAATTATTCATCGCAGACTAGTTTAGTACTCATTTACAGAAAATAATTTATTAGATCAATAACCTTATTTATTTACTAAGGAAAACCATTTTTCATAATGTCCTTTATTACAATGCCTTAATGCCACTGATTAAAGTGTTCCGCAAAAGTAACGTACTTGCTTAGTGTGGAAGCTACTTTGCCTTTTAGCTATGGATATGTACACGGAATTGTTCCATTAGAGAGAGTTACTTTTGAGAAAAATATTTTATCGGTTCATTCTCATTAGAAGCAAGTAGTTTGTATTTTTAATTTCTAGTTTGTATTTAAATATCATAATGTTATTAGTATTATAATAGTTCAATCATTAACTAAGGTTGCTTATTTCTTAATCTCTAACACTCTATTTAACAGAATTTATAAATGTTAGATTTGTTTTTAGGTTGTTATTAAACATAATTATATCTAGGAGTGTTAGGACATGCTATAACATTTGTAATATATGATGAAACCGACAATTAGTACAACTTGGTGCAAGTGTTAAGTAATTGCAATTAACATTCTGGTAGTTCTTTCAATATATACAATATTTTATATCTGCAAATACTAATTTTCCATTATAAACAAGATTTGTCAGATATGAAATAGATTATAAATTTATAGGCATAATGGGGAATGTAAGTTTGTAACTAGTTAATTTGGTCTATTATAATTTATTTTGTTTTTTTCAATACAACAAACATTACCATATTCTTCTGAACGCATTATAGATTTCATATCTCTTTAATATATGCTAATATTAATATATTTGATCTTATTTAATTAAGATTGTGAATATGAGAGACTATTCTAAATAGATGGCAATTTTCATACTTGTATACATAAGAGTAGTATTTATCAATTTATTACTAAACAGCCAGTAGAAACATGTTTGAGGGATGACAAAAGCTTCAACTTGGTAAAGTAAGAATATATATATATATTTATTTAAAAAAATTAAATGACAAATACATTTAAAAAGATTGTTTGTTTGCTAGTTGATATAAAGCATTTACATCAAACTAATAAAAGAATTGATAGACAGCCTCTCATGCTATATTAATATTGAGACTTGATCATGACAGAAAAAAAACTTGATTACTGGATTTTTCATGAATATGGGGTAAATTTGCGGAACAATAGTATTGAATATCGATTAAGTGGTTCAAGGTTCTAATCTTTCTCTTATGATTGCATCCTTGTGTAATCCTAATAGAATGCTAGAAACTCAAGTCACTCTACCAAAACTATTGTTTTCCCAGGATTTGCTCCGAGAGTTCATGAAAAGATCCAGCAACTAACTTATTTTTGTTTGTCATGGCCAAATCCACAATCAATATAACATTATTAAACAGTTTTACTAACTATTTGTTTGTCAGTCGCATGCTAAATATTTTATTTTAACCAGCAAATAAACAACACATATATAAATTTTAAATGTATTTGTCAGTTTCCTTTAAAAAAGTTGAAATTATTTACTTTTGCCAAGTTTATATAGTTATCGGCGGTCAAGCATGATGCTTTTCCTGAATGTTTTGTCAGAGAAGAAATCATGTATAGTAATATGTTGTCTTAGTTTCGAAAGTCTATTCCCTCAGATAATTAGATAGGATGAAATATATGCATAGTAACATATTGATTAGTGATGACTAGAAATCCACAGCAATTCAAAAAATGGTATGATTTAGTGCACTGGAAAGTAACAAAACAAATTATATATAGCAAAATTATCTCATTTCGAGATTCACATTCACCTACTATGGTTGTTTATTTATAATCTTTTTCATATTCCACGCCTCTTTTCTAATGTAAAAATATTGTTAACTAAGGATTTATAATCATTGTATACATTGAAATCTATCAGGAGCCAGGAGTTGATTATTGCAATCAAGTATTCTTACTCTAGGAGATATATTAATTGTTCATTTGATCGCATATTAAGATTGCATATCATTCTTACATGCGACTATTCTCCAACAACAATCTGAAAATACAATGTTCCTGAATTCCATGAAATTGATATAAATTGGTAAACATTAAATAATAGTCAACCTAAATTTGTGACTAATATAACATAATGCTGATTATTATTGTCGTAATTAAGGTTACAATGTTAAAACAACTTAGTAGAAATTAAATGATAAAGTAATGTATTTGATGAGTATTGACTAATAAATAGTTTTTTCATAAGCAACCCTGACGAAATATGTTACGGCATACCTATTTGATGAGTATTGACTAATAAATAGTTTTTTCATAAGCAACCCTGACGAAATATGTTACGGCATACCTGTTCATGACTAAAGATAGCATGGTCTATAGGCTTTGGAGATATGTTAGTGCCACTCAACACCTCTAATCAGTTGTCTAAAGAACATGGGACTAGTGAGCTTTTCTTCATAAATAAATTAGATTATCCATTTAATAAATTGTTTAAACTAAGCTTCCATTAAACCGATGCATGAGGAATACTGTACTAGGAACAACTCACGATCTGTTGTAACTGCGGAAGAAGTACGATCTAAGGTAATCCACAGTGACCTCAGGGATTCCGCAATTTGGAGCACGACTCTTATGAGGCTGTTGTTAGCAATTTTTGGTTGGTGAAATTTCCAGACCACAAGTTTTATCCTGCCGGTAAATGTCAACGCGGAAATTCTGGCCACGTCAGCTGGAGTGTCTTTGATGGTCGTCTATCAGTTTAGGATGATGTGCTCTGTCTTGAACCCATTTAACATTGGGAGGGAAGATGTTTTGCCCTTTTTTAGCCGAACAATGCTCTCTCAAACCATGTGTCGTGTTGACAGCGCAGGGAGAGGCGAACCATGTGACCTGTTGCACTGCACACTAACTTGGGCAGTACCCAAGTAGCAGACAAGTTGCAATCTTAAGCCATGCACTGCACACTGCTCGAGCCCTGTGCACTTCTCTGCACTGATAGGGAGCTGCTTTAACTGGTTCAGTTGGTCAAACTATGTTCTCAATCCACACATTGTATTCTCTTGGTAACCCACACTTCTTACCAAATGGAGCTGCCTCTTTTCTGTCATCAGACTTTCTACCTTACACCATTGGGTAATGGTGTTTTGATCAATAGCAATTAAGTACAGTTTTATATTGGTCTCATGAGTTCATCCGGGAGTATGTTATTTGTTATTATATCTTTACCCCTTGAGTGGGATACGCAAGTGGTTGCAGTAACCCCATTTGCCATTGCTATTTGGTCACTGTTTTGCTAGCCATCATGATGCCTGTTTTGACTGAGACCCCTTTTTCACGTTTTGCAGCCTCCATCTGTTATCATTCCAGGTACTCCACATCATGAATCTGTTTCCTTTGACGTTCTACCTATGTATTTAGCTGTATGCTCCAGATGGCCCGTGCAACAACATTATTTATATTAAAAGTTGCAAGCCCCTGTTTGTTCTTCGTTTCTGCCATACGTCGCTCTCCAGTTCATAAACGATTGCACAATGTCAGTATCATGTCCCAACTCCGTGCGTCTATAGAAGGATTCTGAGTTTTTCCTTCATAAAATTTTCTGTGGGCTAAAAGTCGATTGAACTTGAGTCTGATCCTACTGATTTCCTTTCTTTGTCTGCATACACACTGTGCATATGTCACTCGTATGCATGTGACCATTAAAGTTATTCATCAACACTCAAGGTTCCCTTTTTTTAGTGGTAGTTACCTCTCTGGTGAGTTCCTTCTCTGTGTTTGCCTATTGCCATCAGGCATCAAGCATCTCAGTGGTAGTTACCTCTCTGGTGAGTTCCTTCTCTGTGTTTGCCTATTGCCATCAGGCATCAAGCATCTCAACTATTTAGAGACCTAATTTTAAGGATTTGGCCGCACTACAAGTTGAATCAATTGAAAACTTGAGGACACTGAAAAGAGAAAATGAAAGAAGGAAAACTGAAAGAAGTGCAATGAAGAAATAATTCAGTCAAGTAAGCTAAACGGTTCGAATCATAGTTTAGAATTTCGCCATATATACCAATTTACATATAGAAAACCATGATCAATTTGCCAACAGTTAATTTAGCCTTTTAGATAAATTGCATTCCTTTTCATGACAGATTCTTTGATATAGTTTCATCCATTATAGCCTGATCCTGATTTCTTGCGTTGCTTCATCTATCTGGAAGTTACTCCTTTTCTCAGTGACTTTTTCCTATATGCTTCTGTTTCATGTCTCACCGCACTTTGCTTCTCATCCCAGAATTTGGTGTTCACTAACCAAGGCAGAATTATTTTAAGGTTTGATATCGATTTCATGTTTGTTGACAAGCTAAGATGAATTATCTGATGTCTGCATGAAGGATAGTCAGCTGTATATGGCTGGGTAATAACATTTTTTTGTAGAAGAAGGGTTTTGGCTATAAGAGGAATACTATATCAAGTAAAATTTTACATTTGGCAGGTACAAGCCCTTGAGCTTGTTCTTCCACATAAATGGAAAATATGTTGAAGTTTGTTCTTTGAAAAATTATCTTAAACAATCTAAGTTTTTCATTACTTGCCTTTTGCAGTAATTTTGATTATACTTTCTCATATTCCTTATATTTTATCATTGTCTTCATAGATCTGCTCGATATCAAACATCTTCAATTCTTAGGTCTTATGCTATTGTTTATTTATTAGGGAGTTCGGAGAGAGGTAGGAATCCACGCGAAACTTCTGAACAAGATGCTAGAGGCTCAAGAGAAGGAGACTCTTTGTTTGAAAGAAGAAGCATTTAGTGATACAAGCCCCAAAAAATCCTCCGTAAATTCTAAAGAAATCACTCCCGTCCTCTCTTATTCCGAGAAAAGGGATTCGTGTTCATCAAAGTCAGAATCGTACTTGGTTTATGGTTCGAGGACAACATCCAGCAAGTTGGGAGATATACCAAGCTCTAAAATTGGTAGTAGAACGTTGAAAAAGGTGAGCAATTACTACAAGCCATTGAACGAATCAGTGGGTCATACAGAGGTTCAGGTTCTGGTTGGTGCAGTTCTGGGTTTCATTGTAAGTTTAGCCATTGATACAATTCTGTAATTTTATATGCAGTTTATACGCGATATATGTATAGCTTATCCCAAAAATTTAGGGTAGATGCTTTGTTGTTGTAATCTATTTGTATACATTTATTTATATTCAACATAAATACATTCAGCGTTCACAAAGTAATAGAATAGATTATACTAGTGTTATACCCATGCGATGTTGCGGGGATTTTTATTTTCATGTTATATTATAAAACAAAATCTAAAAAATAACTATTACTATCCAGAAAACTTGCAACAGTTGCTTTTTGCTGTGATTTTCTTTCACTAAATATGTTTTATTTAATTTTGTTAAACATATTATTATGTACATAATAAGAACAACTTAAAAAGAACAAAAAGTTATCCATATAACTTGCATTTAAAAAGCCCTAGAAAAATAGCTCCCTTCAACAATATTGATACAAAATACCCTAGAAATAACATCATTCAACAAATATCCCAACTACAATTAGTAAAGGATACACTTGTAAAAGAGCATAAATAAATCTGTGTCATGATTTCTCTACCAACCATATTTTTTCGTATATAAATAAATTAACAAATTATATTACAAAAAAACAAACAATAGATGCAGTCCCAGTTTTTTTCACTATCATCATACTTGCATCTCACAAATGCAAAATCCCCGACTCTTCCGTCCTTTTTTCAATGCATCATCAACATAAAAGTAATAAAAACCAATTAAATCTTTTTATCTGAAAAGAAAAGCAGCCATCCTTCTTGTTGTGCCTTCATAGGCAAAAGCAGCCATCTTTGAGAACAATCAATAAGCACTCATTTCAACAAATAAATATAATACAATTTTCACATAAGATATATCGCCACTTAGTCTCCCTATGATTACAAAATTAAAGTTAAGGAATATGAAATTATTATACCTAAACGGAAACCAAAGAAAATCTCTGTAGGAGATAAAATAAAAAGAAAAAGATCATAATTAAAAGTTAGAATGAAAAGAAGAAAAGGCTTGTACAATGGTACAAGAGGAAGGCTAAATCCCCCCACCCCACCCCACCCCAACCACCCACCCTCCTTGGCAGCTCAAGGGAAGTTGCAATTAGATGTGAAAATGGGAATTATAAGAAGGTACAGGGACCCAAAATATGGGACCAATAAAGGGGACAAGTGAGGTGTCCCCCTCCTATTGGATAATAAGTTGGTCATCATTAATGATGACCAATTTATTATCCAATAGGAGGGGGACACCTCACTTGTCCCCCTTATTGGTCCCATATTTTGGGTCCTTGAGGAATTTTTCATATATGGTGTTTGCGTCGAAAATTGTTGTATTCATTGAGGTATTCATTACAACTTTAGTCGTTACAATGAAAACAAAAAGATTGTCTTTTTATAAGACTTTTACACAATGAAAACAAAAAGTTACAACTCTCGTCAAAACAAACGCAGAGATCGTTTATCGGTCTTCTGCTTGCGTGGGATCTTTGCCTTTGCTGGGGTTTATCCGTGGACCGCCTTAGATCTGGATCCGGTTGATGAAAAATTCGGCAGAGCTTCGTCTTCGCCGAGGAAGTATTTGATTTGAAGCGCTGAGATCGACCAAGCGAAATTAGGGCTCTTCTCGAGATTAAGACCAAGCCTAATCTCAAGGGACGGGCGGACGGGGTTCAGATCCTTCGAATAGCTTCTTCTTTATGCCGAAGTTCGGCAGGATCTTATTTGCCTTCGCTGAAATTCGTGCTCCTTGACTCCTCAATCCAGCAGCACCTCCACGTCTTGATAAATATTCGTCCCCTCTGAAAGGAGACCCTAGGCTTGTATTTATAGGGCTTCGGGAGCGGTTATTTGGATAGAACAAGTGATTTGGCTCTATCTTCAGTTAACAACAGCCTAACCACGTTTGGGGATGATATCAAGTCAGTTGGGAACCCCTGGAACAGATAAATCCTGTGAAAACAGCTTTAAAACCGTCAAAACGCGTATCGGGTTTCGGACTGCGCGGCGCGAGTCGGATTGGTCCGACCTGCGCTTGCGCGGGTCGGATTGGTCCGACCTGCGCTTGCGCGGGTCGGATTGGTCCGACCTGCGCTTGCGCGGGGATCCGACCTGCACTTGTGCAGGTCGGATTGATCCGTACCACGCTTGCGCGGGTCGGTTTATTCTGTCCTGCGCTCGCGCAGTTTTGCCGACTCATTCTTTTATGTTCCCTTTCTTCCGAGATTTTCTCTTTTCGCGTGTTTGACCAATTTGTTGACTTGTATGCTTCGCCGCAAGACCGATCGTCGAACGCGCTTTAGTTAATATACGCATGTTGATCGATGCGTGCGGACTAATTGGCGTGCGCGCATTGACCGACGCGCACGAGATGATTTGAAGTACGCGCGTTGACCGGCACACACGAGCTGATTTGACGTACGCGCGTTGACCATCGCGCACGAGCTGCTTAGGTGAGTCTTCTTGTCTCGCCAATTCATTGCTTCGAGTTTCGTGCGAGCTCTCATAGGCAATTTTAGACGCCTACAGATACCCCCTCCAAAGTGTTTCAGCCTCATTCTTTTATAGAGGAGTCTGAAATGCTTTGGATATGATGGATCCCCACCTTCAGTCGGTGTTAAAGGACCTACAAATGATTTCGATTCTTGACTTCTCCATATCTTAGCATATTCTGTGTTTCATTGAATAGCTAAGATTTCCCCGGTACTGCGTTTATCGTCTGACCGTTATTGAAGCCTTGAACCGGATTTGGTGAGTAGACTTTGACTTGTGTTATTGAGTTGACTTTTGGATTAATTATCTGCATCGCAACGCGTTGGCCGGCGTTGACCTAGGGCTACGCGTTGACCGGCGTTAACCTTAGGGTTTTGAATCGATCGGCGTTGACTTTCATCGCAACGCGTTGACCGACGTTGACCTAGGGCTACGCGTTGACCGACGTTAACCTTAGGGTTTCGAATCGATCGGCGTTGGCTTTCATCGCAACGCGTTGACCGGCGTTGACCTAGGGCTACGCGTTGACCGGCGTCGACCTTAGGGTTTCGAGTCGATCGGCGTTGACTTTCATCGCAACGCGTTGACCGGCGTTGACCTAGGGCTACGCGTTGATCGGCGTTGACCTTAGGGTTTCAAATCGATCGGCGTTGACTTTCATCGCAACGCGTTGGCCGGCGTTGACCTAGGGCTACGCGTTGACCGGCGTCGACCTTAGGGTTTCGAGTTAACCTGAGGAGAACCAGTTTATACTCGTGTACTCCTGGGAGTTTCGGGAATCAGTTTAACCTCGTGCACCCGTTGGAGGTTGCCAGGTTATCCTTAAGAATTATTATATGTAATATTCTCCAGGAAATTCCTGTCAAGATGAAAAACAGTTTAGACTCATGTACCCGTTGGAGTTTGGATTTCGAATATTCCGATAATAGGCGAAAATATCACGAAATCACCCAAAATATAAAATTGGGTCCCGGATATTTCGAACATAGGCGAAAATATCACGAAATTATTCGGGGAATGAAAATGCCGCGCAATTATCCGTGAAATTAACTTGAGTTCTGAAAATTCCGAATTCGAGCGAAAATGCCGCGAAACTATCCGAGAGATGAAATTAAACTTCGAAAACGGACGAAAACAGGCAAAAATACAGCAAAACGGGCGCCAAACTGGGTCTGACCCGCGTTCCCGCGGGTCAGATGGATCCGACCCGCGTTTCGCGGGTCGGATTGATCCGACCCGCGTTTCGCTGGTCGGATGGATCCGACCCGAGGAACGCGGGTCTGAACCTGGGAGAAGGGGTAAAGAAATCCCCGACTTTTGCCGACCCATTACACCCTAATTTGGGGTGTAAGAATTTGGGCTAAATTTCCCCTCCATTCCCCTCCTCTACCCTACAAAATGAAACTCCCAAACAAGGTTAAAATGAAATTTCCCTTCCCTTCCCCCTCTCTACCCTCCATCCAAACAGGCCACAAGTCTTCTCCCCTCTTAAATTTTTAGTTCCAGCTTCTTCTTCCCCACTTCGGTTTCTTCCCTTGAGTTCCAGTTCTTTGAGAGCTCTTCTTCCTCAAGAGTTCTAAACAAATCAAAGCTCCCCCCTTTAAAACCCATCAACTCCTCTTCTTCCCACTTGGATTCGAGCAAAGGGGGATTCAGATCTAGGGTTTCGGCCAGCTTGACTTGAGCACTTGTGGATTTTATTTCGGCGGACCCCTCCTCCTTCTCAATTCCTCTTTGAATTTCAGGTAAGCTTCCATGTCCTCTCTTCAATTTTGGACTAAGTCTTTGAGTTTTGGCTTGATAGTTTGAACCCTAGTTCTTGAATTTGGGGGAAATCCGAAATCTGATCTTGAGTTTTGAATGATGGCCGAAAACTTGGTTGATTGTGTTCATGGCTTGATAACTTCAGCCTTAGCTCTTTAATCTTGGAAGAAAACCGAAATTTGGGTATGGAATTTGAGAAATTGGCCGAAATCTTTGAACTTTATTCTTGAATTTGTGTAAAGAACTGACATTGATGGCAAAAACTCTTTGTTAGCCGAATTTTTATTTTGTTTGAACCCTTAACTGTATATGGCCGAAAATGTTGACAGGGGCTCTGGTGATTAATTGTGCTAGTTGTTGAAACGGTCCCCAAAGTTCTAGATGACAGTATTCCACTTGAGTCTTGTTCGTTCCACTTGAATGCTTCAGGTGACGTGTAGTTTAGGGTTCCGACCTGAGCATCACGTTGTATGTTGGTTGTATCACTCAGTATAGCTTTTGCAATGCCAAAATCAATAAGCTTCAAGGATCCTCTGACGAACAGGGAATTCGCAGGCTTCAAATCCGAGTGAACAATACGCTCCTCATGTATGGTATTAATAGCTTCAAGCATTTGCTGCCAATAGAATCGGAGCCAATTATCATCTATTTCTAAACTTAAACTTTCCACCTCCTTCCATTTTTGTGAAAGCATGTGAGCCAAGTCAATTTTTCCATAACCCAGAACCATGTAAGTATATTGATCATCTTTGATCCTTCCATCCTTTACAGTCATTGAGCCATTAATGACTTCTTGAAGCAACGTTTTATCAGTCACCTGAGACGAAATGGCCTCATGGTCAATTAGTTGTATGGTATTGCCTTGAATTCAAACTTGTACATGACCGAACTCTTGTATTATTGAATTCGTATGTAACTGAACTCGTGCATGCCTTGAATCCAAACTTGTGTATGACTCAAGAACCTTATATGCCTTGAACTCGAGCTATTCTTGTACATGATTGAGCTTGTGAATACACATGTTGACATGATTGAGACTTTATATTTGACTCTGTGACACTTAACTTGAACCGAGAATGTCGTATAGGTTTAATTGGACCCTTAATTTCCCTTTTTAGGCTTTGATTCACATATCTTGATTCTTGATCTGACTGTGCTGTTGATCTTTGTTACAGATTAGCCATGTTGACGATTTGGACCGGCTGGAGCGCGAATTCCGACGGTTACAAGAGTTGAAGACTGCCGGTACTTCAACGTACATAGCCATCCGGATGGAATCTCGTCTACAAGCATGGCGCGACACTCGGGCTTCTACTGGACTTGAGATTCAAACGCAACAAAGTCGGGTGGATCAAATGGAGACCTTGGTTATCTTAGGGATGGCGAAGGATGACTTGGAGCGTTCACAAGTTGTGATATCCGGAAAATTGGAGCTCTCGAAATAGCACAGTTTAAGCTCTTAAGGCATTGGAGCGTGACGGTCCCGAATGTTGGGCTGCAGGACCAACTATTAAAGCTGATTCATCTGCACAGGTGGATCTTATCCTGAAGTTTGTTGGATGTTCAAGTCATGAGACCAACTAATGAAGCTGATACGTCAATGACTCGCATTTATAGAATTTTTGGCAAATTCTCAGCCATCAACGGGTTTGATAATCCTTTACCGACTACCGTTTGAGTCGGGCTAGTGTGCGGATTATTTTGGATCCGTTCCGCACATAACGTTGCGCTAAGAGAATTAATTCACTTAGACTTGGTGCTATGACTTTGAATACATATGCTTCGTCTTTCTCGTGTGAGTAGACTAAACGGCAACGCGTGTTAGGCGTTGACTTACTCCTTCTTAGGCTTCGAGGTAAATTCCCCAGATTTAGACTCTGGTGTCTTTTTCAATCGGCGAAAGACTAAACCGGCGATGTGTGTTAGACATAGACTTTAGGATTTTTGGCAAACCCCCAGCCTTCAACGGGTTTGATGTGCCTTTATCGATTACCGTTTGAATCGGGCTAGCATGTGAATTATTAAAACCCGTTTCACATGTAACGTTGTGCTAAGAGAATTGCTTCTCTTAGACTTAATGCTATGATTTTGAATACATAGACTTCGCCATTTCTTACGGGAATATAGCACCCGGCAACGTGTGTTAGACGCTGACTCATCCCTACTTAGGATTCGGGATAAACATCCCCAGACTCGTATTCTGGTGTCTTTTTTCAATCGGTGAAAGACTAAACCGGCAACGCGTGTTAGGCGTTGACTTATCCCTACTCAGGATTCAGGATAAAATTCCCCATGCATAAAAGGCATGGATTTTTGTTGCTACGATGCTGAATACGTAGACTCGGTCGTTTTCATGGGAACGAACCACCCAACAGCACAGATTAAGCGCTGACTTATCCCTACTTAGGTTTCGGGATAAAATACCCCAGACTAGATTCTGGTGTTTTTTTCAATCGGTGAAAGACTAAACCGGCAACGCGTGTTAGGCGTTGACTTATCCCTACTCAGGATTCGGGATAAAATTCCTCATGCATAAAAGGCATGGATTTTTGTTGCTACGATGCTGAATACGTAGACTCGGTCGTTTTTACGGGAACGAACCACCCAGCAACGCGGGTTAAGCGTTGACTTATCCCTACTTAGGTTTCGGGATAAAATACCCCAGACTAGATTCTTGTGTCTTTTTCAATCGGTGAAAGACTAAACCGGCAACGCGTGTTAGGCGTTGACTTATCCCTACTCAGGATTCGGGATAAAATTCCCCGTACCTGTGAGGCACGGATTTTGGGAGTTAAAAAAAATGTTGTCTTCTCTTTGGGGCAAAGACGAACCCGAAATGAGAGAGGAAGAATTTTATATTCTATCTCTCAGCACTGAAGAGGAAGAATTTTATATTCTATCTCCAGTTGGAAAGAAGACTCGAGGTGGGATCTCCACCCCCAGAATCCGGAAAGATGAAACTAGGAGTGGGATCTCTACTCCGAGAATCAGAAAGATTCAAGTAACCCTAACTTTTATAGGATTGGTTACTTGATCCAAGAAAAGAGTTCCTTATTTATTAAGGGGAAATTCCGATTTCGACCCTAACTTTTATAGGTTTGGCTGAAAAAAAGGAAAAGATGGAAATATTTTGTTTATCGAAAGGGATAACTCAATCTTAGTCCTAACTATCTGCAGGTTTGACTAAGTAAAGTTGGAGATAATCCTAACTTTTATAAGTTTGATTGCTCAATTTGAAAGTGGACCTCTCGTTCATGGAATGAATCGAGAGGGGAATCTGGCTTTGGCCCTAACTTTTATAGGTTTGACCTGAAAGCAAAGGGAGTGGAGTACAAGTAGCAGTAGAAATACTGGTTTGTACTAGCCACTCGATGGAGGATTTTGATGTTAAGTGATCAGGACTTAACACGTCAAGTTTTAAAAATTGCCATGAATTGGCGGATAAAAATCTTAGTGGACCCACCGTCAATTGATTTGACCAGTGAGGGATTTTGTGAGGAAAGGTTGATCTGTCGTCAAACACCGATAGGAGTTTTGTGAGGGAAGATTGATCCGCCTAAACGATCGAATCTCGTCTCAGCAAAAGAGTGTTCGGAAATCACAGTGGGGGTTTAGTGTTTATCACTTTGTTTGTAATGATCGGGTTATCCCTAAGAAAATTACATATAGTATTCTTTCGGGAACTCCCCGTTACATGAATCATCCACCCCCAGCTTCTTCGCGAAACTGGGTTTATCATTGCATTCGGTTACATGATCGGGTTATCCTTAAGAATATTACATACAAAAATTCTCCAGGAACTTCCCGTTAACGGTAGGAAACAGTTTAGACTCATATACCAATTGGAGTATCAGGGAGCAATTTAACCTCTTGTACCGGTCGGAGGATTAAGAAGCAGTTTATACTCTTATACTTGTCGGAGTGTTCATTCGACTCAATTGAGCGATATAACGCCGGCTTCAACCAGGGTTTGGATGCTATTCTTAAGAGCGAAGCAAGCCTTGGTAGGATGAAGGATCCTCCTGTGGTACGCACAGTACCTCGGATCCGCAGTATTATCAGCTTCCTCTGGATCTGGGATAGGTGGTAGCTTGATCTTGTTATTTTCAAGGAGGGACTCGAAAATAGCCGGAACATCTTCGTCCTTGAAGGAGTACTCTTTTTGGAGTCTCGGATCCGAAATCTTTTGCTGCCTTCGGGGTTGTTGCGATGTCTGATTAACGTCTACAACCGCTGCATGTGCCTTTCCTTTACCACGGGAGGCGAAGTTTGAGTTCGGAAGATTCGCCGTCGGTTGGCTCCTCTCGGCTTTCTTCCTTCGGAGGAAGCGTTCGGTCCGCTCTCCGCGCGTCTTCAACTCTTTCCAAGTGTTGGACGGTGCGACTCCCATAACTTCTAATATCTCAATAGATAGGTTGTTATGACATGTCTGGAGGATGAAGTCCTCCGTGATCGGATCTCGGCAGTTCATTGCTTTATTCCGAAAGCGCTTGACGAAGTCGTCGACTGTCTCGTCATCTTCTTGTTTCTCATCGAAAAGTGTCCTGATGGATACCTCGTCGTCGTCATCAAAGAAGTTACCAAGGAATGAGTTCTCCATATCGTCCCAGTTGTTAATACTTCCGGGCTTGAGACGGCGGTACTAATCGAAGGTCGGCCCGCGAAGGGTGCCAACGAATGACCGAACCATCAAGGCTTCATTGCCGGAGATCATACCCAAGTGGGACTTGAAGTAGATCAGATGTTGAGTGGGTGAACCCTTCCCGTCAAACGGCGTGAAGTTAATCAGGTTGAACTTAGCCGGGTATGGAATCGAATCCCACTCTCTCGGGTAAGGACACGGAATGCCGGCCCTCCTTACCTCTCGAGCAGACATTAGAGCGTTGATTTTGCTCTCGAGATCTTTCATTTTCTCATCCTCGCTCGTATCGGGCCTTGGACGATTTGAAAGAGGAATAACGGGGCCACCCCCAGCGTTGTCGTCTTCGGTAGGACTACCACCAGCGTTGTTATCTTTAGTGGGGCCACCCTCAGCATTTTGGTCAACGAGAGGGTTATCAGCATCGAGGCGTTCATCCACATCTGAATCGCTACCTACTTGGTTAGCAGCGTTGCGACGGCTGGATTCGCCCATTTGATTGGAAAGAGCCCGAATCTGTCGGTCGTGCTCTTCCTTCATCCGCTGCATAGCCATTTCTATTTCGAATTTAAATGCTTGCTTCTGCTTGGCTAGAGCATCCTCAACCATTTTAGTTGCTTCTTCGGTGTTAATCATAAACACTTCGCGGGATTGCCCCGGGCTAGATACCGTATTGTCAGAAGCGACTGCAGAGTTAGCATCTGATGCTTCATCGTCCGAGGATAACCCTCTCTGCATTCTTTGGTAGTCCCTGCGTCTAGTGGTCCCTGATCGCAACCGGGTTAGACGATGAGATATAAGCGGGTCAGAGCTAGAAGGTCGAATCGACTTTCCCTTATCAGCCATATTTATTGTGACTTCCGGGAGTTCGTCACCTTGAACATTCGATTGCTTTTTACGGAGACGCTTTGGTTTGGACTTAGTCATTTCGTTGGAGATCCTCTCAGATACGGAGACCCTCTGCGGAGCGGTCTTGGGGCAACTGCACGCTGATAATACTGCCCTGATTAGTTCGGCGCACGGGCAGTGAGATTTGGTTTCTCGGCGCGGGATTGCCCTGGGCTAGATACCGTATTGTCAGAAGCGACTGCAGAGTTAGCATCCGATACTTCATCATCCGAGGATAACCCTCTCTG